GTTCGCTGCGCCCTTTCTTCTCCTCGCGTCCTTCCTTCTCCCGCTCCTTGCGTGTGCGGCTGCCTCCCCTTTTTTGCTTTTCGCGCGCCGCCTCTTTCCGCTCTGCTTCTCTCGCTTTCTGTCCTTTCCCTCCTTCCGCGTTCCTGCCTTCCCGCCGCGCCTCTTGCTTCCCTTCCGGGTTTCGTGCGTCTCTCTGCCCGTTGCTCCTCCGTCTTCCCTCCCCCGCGCTCTGTCCTTTTTCTCGCCCTCCTCCCGCCTGCCGTGCTCCTTGCTGTCCTCTGCTTGGTCCGCGCGTGCCGCCCGGGCTTCTTCGTCCTGGCGCTCGCCCCTCGTGTTCTCGCCTTTTCTGCTCCTTCTCGTGCCTTTCTGCCCTCCTCTCTCCCTTGGTGTCTCCTCCCTCGGCTTTGCCCCCCCCTTCCCGCTGCTCTGTCTTCGGCTTCCCGCCGTCCTTGTGGCCCTCGCGTTTTGCTTTTCCTCCCCCCGCCCCCTTCGTCCTCCTCGGCCCTGCCCGGTTCCTGCGGTCCTTTTTCGCTCCCTCCGCCCTCCCCGCGCCCTCCGCGTCTGCGTCTCCCCCTCGCTCCCCTGCTCCCTCTTTTGGCTCCCCGCGCCCGCCCTTTGCGTTCCTTCCGCTCTCTTCCTCTCTTTTTCGTTGCCTTCGGTGCCTTTCTTTCGGCTTCGCTTGCCCTCGTGCCCTCCCCCCCGCCCCGCCCTGTCCGGTCTGCTTGCTGTCCGGTCTCGGCGCGCCCCCCTCCTCCCTCGCCCGTTTGTTTGCTCCCCCTCCTTTCCTTCCTTCTCCCTGTCCCTTCTGCGGGCTGTGCTCCTTGGCCTTTTCCCCGCCCTTTTTCCCTCCCTGCCCCTTTTCGGCTTCCCTCCTTGTCTCTTTGGCTTGCTTTCTGCCTCTTCCCTCTGGGCCTTGTTTGCCTTGCCCCCCCCGCCCCTCGTTCCGTTCCCCCCTCCTCCTCCTCTCCCCTTTGCCTTTCCTCCGCTTGGCGCCCTTTTCCCCCCCGTTGGCTTCGTGCTTCCGCCGCTCCTGTCCTCCCCGTCGCTTTGTCCCCCCCGCCTCTGGTCCTTCTCTTTTCTCCGCCAGCGTGTTTTCTCCCCCCTCTTTCGTGCCGCCCCCTTGCTCCGCCCGGTGCGCGCGTCTCCTCCCCGGCTCGTGGCGCTTGCTTTCCGCCCTCCCGCGCCTTTTTGCGCTGCTCTCCTTTTCCCGCTCCTTCTTGCTTGCCCCCCGGTGGTTGTTCCCCCTCCCCTCTTCTTCCCGCCGTCCCTTTCGGCCCGCGCTCTTGCCCTCCCTTTGCTCGCCTTTGCCGTTCTTCTCGGCTGCCCCTCGCCTCTGCGCTCGCTTCCCCTCTCGCTCCGGGGCGCCGGTTTCCTCCCCCTCCCTCCCTTCTTCTTGGCCCTCCCCCTTCGCCCCCCGCCGCGCTTTTTCCTCCCCTGCGCCCTCTTCCCTCCTTTTGTTTCTCCCCCCCCTTTCGTTCCCCTGCCCTTCTGCTGCGCTGGTCTCGGCCCCGTTCCCCCC